GCTTGGAGTCCTTGGAAACCGTTGTAGCTTCTATATTTTGAGTGCCAACTGAAGTCGTACTAACAGTGAGTATATTTTAACCTTCCTTTTTGTAGGTAATTGTGAATATTTGTGAATAGAAATTCAGAGGTCACTGTATGATTGTGTGCATATTCAAAAAACATCTATGATTGGCGCATTTTCTTACGACCTAAATTGTCATAAATTGGCACTTTACGTTAGTACTTTTCCGAATGCGTGGCCAAATGGGCTTTGTAGAAGGATAGTAGTCGACAACTTTGTGTACTATACCCTGCCATGAAACTGTTGAATATTGAAATGACGGATGCCCGTCCAACAAACTTATGGTCCACACAGTACAGGTAGCGGGCATCGCGATTTTGATCGCCGACATTGATTAGCTTATTAAGCGTATGCATGATCACTTTGCGTTTCTAAACGGTCTACTGCATTCTCTGTCTTTGTTGAAAGCCTGTAATTCATTTCCTTGGCTGCAGGGCCTTCCAAATATTAATCCTCGAAAAGATGATCTTCTCCAAGTCGAAAAATAGTCTATTTCTGTGACTGCCGGTTACTACACCATTTTGCGGTTAATTTCGAAAAATATCTGGTGTATTTCGTGGAATCCCATTTAAATTCGTGGAGCTTCATTATATTTCGCGACCTCGGCATTTAGATTCATGGGAACGTCGAATTCACTCATTATATTTCGTGGACTGTCAGTACATTTCGTGATTTGCTCAGATTCGAAAACATCCAATATATTTAATAGTAACCTTTTTGCTTGTGGTGATCTTGTTGGTGTTGCGTCAGTGGAGCTGCAACTCCACTAACGTAACGTGTCTGCTTTCAGATGTGCTCTATTGACCAATGGTGCCTGAAAGCATCAGGGACCATACAGTGCTTGGCGTAGAAGGCCATAAGCACACCACCGAATTCTCGCGGCGGCAGATCCGGCTGTGCAGCGCAGCAGGCCTTGACCACGTATCCGAGCTCTGGGACAGAGGATGGACGGACTCTCAGCTACCAGGAGCGCTTCAATGGTTTCTGGACCGATGGCACCCCCAGGCCTTCCCCTTTCAAACATCCAATCTCCCCAAATGTGTACATTTTCTCAGGCTCCAGACGGACCGGTACATTCCTTTTGGCTCTTCCCGCAAGCCCACTGGCGTCTGGTCCTTGACCTGTTCGGTGTTGCACACGACCAGCACACCTCCAGCTTCGCTACTTCTATCCTTCAAGGTGAACTGCTCCCACCGGCTCCATGGCTCTTAGCCTCGTCCAACTGGACCACACATGGCATCACCCAAGTTCGCTTAGGTCATCAAGCCTGGCGACTCGTTCGCGACCACTCTCTACGGCAACTTTGGAACGACCGCTGCGCAGTCCTCGATGCCAACAGTGACAACATCTCCCAACCAGGGACATTCCCTCTCCTACTCCAGGCCCATTTCGAGGCATTGACGAGCTAGCACACCCGCCGACGACATCGGTTCCGCACAGAACTCTACCACATCTTGTGCTCCCATGCCGCTTCCTCAACTCCTCACCCCTCCCTCCACCGCGCGGACAGACCCCAGTGCGTATGGATGGTAGTGTTTCTTTGACGGAGCGGCCCACATGGACCCGGAATGTGGGGGTCTGGCGCCCTGGTTATGCCGCGCGACTACCCTCCTTTGCGACTAAGATGCGCACTACACCTCTGCAGTCACGACCAACAACCAAGCCGAGTACGATGGCCTGCTACGAAGCCTTTAGATGGCCAAGACCCGCGGTTACACCTACCTTACGGTCTACGGGGATTGCCAACTGCTCGTGCGTCAAATGCATGGACTCCACAGTGCGAGATACCCCGGTGCCCAGTACCTCAAGGCCCGACGCCTGGCGGCTACCATCCACTGTACAGGGCGCCACCGAACTCGGGAGGGAAATCAAGCAGCGGACTTCCTGTCCAAATATACAGATGACTGCTCTTCGTGCACTTTCTTGGATGGGCTGGAGGTCGTTCCTCTACCATCACGGCAGCTTACCCCGCTCTACGACTTCCTCGATTTGGATCTCGCCTTCAACCGGTAGACCCACACCTTTTTCCCTTAGTGTAGCTTTGACTGCATGAGCTGACCAGTAATACATCAACATGAACAACACACCAGCAATTCCGTCCTGTACACTCCTGCAACGGTGTCTAAAACAGGTCGACTGGTCTGTTGAAGATCCACCACGACCCACTGCTTACGTCGAATCAGTGGGACGCATTATACGGTGGATCAGAACCCTGCATGTATTCAAGAGAAGGCGTACTGTATGTATGACAACATCATTGAAGGTGTCGGAGCATTCAAGACACTCCACATGCATAAGTCAGTAAGCCCATGGTTAGATGTAGTAGACAATGTACGAGTTGACATCGGAAGCCGATGATCTTTTGCTAGCACTAACCACTCCAAACTCACTTTTAGATTTGCCTTTTTGGCCTCAGTCGCTTGCACACACATGGCGTTGTCTTCCTCGCCGCCAGACTAAACACAGGTCTGTTCAAGGTGGTCCAGCATGAATTATAGTGAGCTGTTTTGTCTCCCGCTTCTTCTTGGCTTTCGGCCACGGGACCTTCGTCAAGGCAGCAAATATACACACTGACATTAGTGAGGTTAAACACGCCAAGAGGCGCCTACTGACTACAATTCACTAAAGTACTCAGTACCTCCACTAAGGTATCGGAACCTTTGACACGCCACATTGCAATGGGTCAAACTAACGCGCGACCCAATTGCTCTGCAAGCTGCAGAACACTTCCCTTCATACGGAAAGTCCAGTGTCTTGATGAGGGCGGCCACGGCAGGGTCTTCCTTGTTGGCCGCAGCCCACTTGCGAAATACGACTGGAATGTCGTTCAGCAATTTCACCGCAGGTTCGCAGGACGATTCTTCATCGTCCAGTCCGAGCCACTTCACCAAACCTTGGTGTTGGCCACGCAGCGCGCTTTGTCCAGGCGCTCCACATGAAATCCGCCACCACCAAACGCGATCTGCGCCTCGAGGTCTTAGGTCACCTCTCTACCACCTTCGTGGTACATCTTCAGTCGGCACGCATGATGGACTGTGACTTCATACGGTGGCACCAGCTGCTGAGTCTCCATCGCATAGTATGTGATGACTCTGGTCACTTGGCAGGGTCTGCGCCAATGCAGGGCCAATTTTGTTGGACGGTTGACGACCGATCCGACGAGCACAAAATCGCCGACCGAAAAACCCGCAAATTTTACTTGGGATTTTCGGTCGCGGCGTCCACGCGCTTGCTGACGCAACTTGTCGCATCGCACCGCAACGTTGCGGTGCATTTCTTCAAGCGCCACTTGGAGGTCCGTCACATGTTTCTGACGGGCGGCGCCAAGCCAGTCCGCGACGTAAACTTCCTTGGACGTCGGGTGGACAAATCCTGCCAGCGGGGTCTTGGCTGGCAGGCCGGTAAACGCTGTCACAGGCGCAATTCCTCCCAGCCGGTCCCCCAGCTGATGATTGAGGGTGCCTTGAACGAGGGGCAACACATGCAGCCATTCGTCCGCGTTCAGCGGACTCTGCTGCGAACAGCTGCACAAAGCCACTCATGTCGTCTATCACGACAAGCACTTGTTTTTGGCCAGACTTGGCTATGGGCATCGGCAACCAGCCGAAATGGATGAGCTCGTTCGGCTTCTCTGCGTGAAGCGCCGAACCCAATGGACGGGGAACCATTTCTCGGTCAATGCACAGGCAGTGCAAACAGGCACGCACGAACGCTTCGACGTCCGTGGAAAGCGTCTTCCACACAAACTTGTTGGACACCGACTTGGTCGTCGCTGCGATGCGACGGTGACCGCTGGCTCCTTGGTGAGCGATCACACAAATCCGCTGCTGAAGGTCGACAGCACCGTCTGGGATCCAGATTCATCCGTCTGGGTCCACGTAAAAATGGGAGTCGCCGTCCCGATCCACGCCGTTTGGGGGGTCCCTCCCCCTTCCATGGTTGAACGTTGGATGCCGCTGATCGTAGCAGCTGTCGGCCACTCGAAATCCACAGGGGCGACACCACATGGATCAACTTGCGAACATTCGCAACTGGTTGATCCGCCGGAGCGAACCCCATCGGCTCAGGAGGTCGCCCCATACGTTCGCGTCACCCGAGACGCACTCAATGGTGTACGGGAAGTCGACATTACCAGCGATCATCGCTGCAGCTTGTCGGCCTGGTACTTGGCCATGTTGGCGTTCGAGCCACTTGGGTTGAAAATGTACACCAGGTTGCGGTGATCCATAAACAGACGGAATCCACCCGGGCGTACGACCAGGTAGTCGAGTCTCTTGCACGACTCGACCACGGCATAGGCCTCCTTCTCCACGATGAGCCAACTCACACTCGCGCCAGAAAACGACCTAATGATGAACGCAAGCGGCTGGTGCCGCTGGTCTTCGAGAGGCAAGTCGAGGTCCGCTGGCGGTACTTGTGTGGCGACCGCACCCCAAAACAGGTCACTGGCGTCCGTGAAGACGCAGACCGTCATGTCTTCT